GCAGCCGATGACGAAACCGCAGCCGATGACGAAACCGCAGCCGTTGGTGAACCCGCAGCCGATGGTGAAACCGCAGCCGATGGTGAAACCACAGCCAATACTATTGAAACCGCAGCCAATACTATTGAAACTGCAGCCAATAGTGAAACTGCAGCCAATATTGAAACCCCAGCTGATGGTGAAACCGCAGCTGATGGTGAAACCGCAGCCAATATTGGAACCGTAGCCAGTGGTAAAACTGCAGCCGATAGTGAAACTGCAGCCGGTGGTGAAACTGCAGCTAATAGTGAAACCACAGCCGATGGTGAAATCATCTCTAGCCAAAATCTACTTATTCAAACAATTTGATGACATTTAGCTTCACTGACATAGTTATTCTAAAAACACTTAGTGTGTAATCTTTTACCATTATCATTATTAAATTCAATTATTGAGCAAAGTTCTGAGTAAAAAACAAACTGAAATGTACAGTGTGATCAATCAGCTTCAGATTGGTGATCATCGTTTTCAGCCGTTATTTTACCCTGGAACACACATCTTTATGTAAGCTGAAGTTTATTTCATTGAGATAAAGCGTATATAAACAATACCAGACTTTGTGCATGTGCTTCTAGTATTGTGCGTTTCATACATTTCATTTACAGTTAATGTTTTTTTTACTATAAAATAGACTAACCTATTTAATTATTTACTAACAGAAACAAGTCATCTTTATGTTATCAATGTAATATTATCATTTTTACAATTTATTATGTAGATAATAATTATTAATTTTATTTTATTGCTATTGTGCATAAAAATTATAAATAATGATATAATAATGAACCAAGGAATCATTAAAATAATTTGGTTTTTGTATATTTTTAATATTTATTTTTTTAATTTTCATTTGCAGTTGGATTACTTGAAGAGAATGATAGATTGTGTCAAGAAAAGAAAGATCTGGAAAACCAGTTCAAGAAAGACAAAGAGGATCTTGAAACTCGGCAAAAGTTATTGGAATCTGCTTTAGAAGAACAAACAAGTAGATGCGATGAGTTAGTCAGAGAACAGAGATCACAGACAGAGGAGTATGAACGACAATTTGAAGCAATGGATAAACAACTGAAATCAAATAAGCTCTTTTTGGAGGTAAATCACTTCAATTTTCAGAAATTTTTAGTGTTGTTTCGAAAAAGACCATAAATTACTTGGCTGCTATTAAAACTTATTTTATTTTAGGATGTTGCTCATGAAATTCTACCAGAAAACTATGGTCATCAAACTAATTTTTACAGAAAAGATGTTTAAAAAACAAATAAAAATAGTGATTTTTGAGCAATTTTTCATTGGATTCTACGGTAACAGGTTTTTGTCATATCTGACAATTCAGTTCAGGTGTATATGATGAAAAACATCATAGTTTTCCCCAGTTATTGGGAAATTCTTATGACTACTATTATTTTTTCATGAAATACTATCATGTTATATCATGAATTCAAAAAGTTTCAAAAAAGCCCATCTTTACATGTTTCATGGGAGTATGAATATACAGAGTTGTTTTGCTATTATTTAATAGACTAAATGCCTTTCAATGACCTTAATGTGGGTAATTAGCAATGAAAATTAGCACTTTTCTGTCATTTTTATCATATTTTTCTTTTTTCTTTTATTTATTACCAATATTTTTATAGGATCGCCACATTCAGGCCAAGCCCGTTATTCCCAAAAGTATATTTGAATGACAAAAAATGTATACAAATAAGTATAAATATTTAAAATCAATTATTACATTCAGTGGATAAGTTCTAAAATATCTAAATTTGAAACTTGAAATTGAAGGTGAACATTAATAGTAAAAGTAAACCTCAGGGTGAAAAGTTTCTATAATAAAAAGAATTTTCTAATTGAGACTTTGCTGATAAAATTGTCATTATTGGTAGAATTTCTTGTATAATGGAATGAATGTCACCAGCAGATGTTGTGAACTGTTGAGTTATGTATTTTGGAAATGGATTATTTATTGATTGTTGTAATGCAGTCTTCAATATCTCCACAACATTGCATATTGATAATGTGATTCTGCTTTTGTTTCCTAGCAACAAGCAACTGAAAGAGAACAAGAAAGAGATGACTTCCAGAAAGAAATCCATAAACTTCAAGAACATATCAAGATGAAAGGTGGACTTCGAGGGGATGACACACTTCTCAAAGAGGTAACAAACATTTTCAAAAATCTTATTCAACCCATTCAATAGCCATTATTGTCTTATAAGCTTTTGCTAACAAAATGTTCACTAATTTCAACAAACATACTTTAATGAATTTTAACTTTTGACATTCATCCCATAATTTGAATATATTCATGCATCACATATTTGTTTAACTATCTTGGTAAAATAGTGGTTTTCAGTGTGAAGCAGAATCTTGTAAACAATCTGACACTGGATAGATGAATTTGGAGTTGCAGTTTAGTGTCTACAACAGAAAAATTATTTGGCAAGTTGTGTGAATCCTCATCCAAAGATATTGAATAAGTTTATGTGTGTGTAATGAAAATATTGATTTTTTAAAAGGTAGCCTAGAATACAAAATTAATATATTACCCAAACCTTGCTATTGAGCCCACAAATGATAGCCCAGTAACCTGAAAACCCAAACTTTGCTATTGCCCCACAAATGATAGCCCAGTAACCTGAAACCCCAAACTTTGCTATTGCCCCACAAATGATAGCCCAGTAACCTGAAACCCCAAACTTTGCTATTGCCCCACAAATGATAGCCCAATAACCTGAAAACCCAAACTTTGCTATTGCCCCACAAATGATTGCCCAGTAACCTGAAAACCCAAACTTTGCTATTGCCCCACAAATGATAGCCCAATAACCTGAAAACTCAAACTTTGCTATTGCAAGATAAAAAGCATATACCTTCAAATGAGACAGGCAGGCATGAATTATAATACATTGTAAGTTCTATGTAGCTCCCATAATAGTATAACCTTTAGCATCATAAATCTGCTTTATTTAGAAACCTTGTTTTGGTGGTTCACTGATGTCTATCGTATTGTATTTATTTTATAATGCCAGGAAAGTGTATTGTTTGCCCTATTTTAGTTGTAATGGACTCATCTTTATCAATAACCACTGAAGCCAAGATAAAACTGTTTACCTTCCCCCACTGTCTGTACAGTCATTGTGGTCAGTATCAGAAATGCACAATAAACTCAGAACACAATTGGCACATACGGTAGTCAATGTTGAAGATGTATGTTTTTAGAAAGAAATCAGTCAGTTCATGTGGAAATCAACACAACTAACTTGTTATTCCAATTGTTTGGGAACAATTACATGGTTGATCTTCACATGAATGTCTGCTGGAAATTTCTTTTGAGGTTCATTTTATTTCACTTGTGTTAATTTTCAATTTGCTTGGGCATTTAAAAACAAAATTGAAAATAGTATGAGGTATGAAAGTTTTTTAATGTCTCAGTTATTTTCTCTTGGTGACATTCTGATGATTTCAAGTTCATTCGCAAATCTAACATGTGCATTTTGTGTAAATCACTAAAAAAGATACAAGACCTGACACAGGAGCTGAAAGACAAGATCAGTGCACACAATGAAGTGGTCAAGGAGAAACAACAGTTGGTGCATGACCTCCAGGAAAAGGTGACACTTGAAAACCAACTGAAGCAGCAAATCAGGGAGTTGGAGAATCAGGTTGAAGAAAAGAACAGAGTGGAACAAGATTTGATTGAGAAGAAATCTGAGCTGGAGAATGAATTGAAGAAGAAAGAACAAATTGAAGAAGATCTGATGCAAGAGAAAGAAGTTTTACAACAGCAATTGTACGATAACTTACTGCAGTTAGGAGCTTTACAGTCTAAGTTAGACAGCACAAAACACGGATTTGATGAGAAACGTTCAACTACTACGTCTGCTGCTAGCAGTACTGATGGTGTGTCTGTGGCCCAGCAATTAGAACAGGACAAAGAAGCTATTGAAAGAAAAGATGAAGAGGTTTGTTGTTTAATTATTTTTTTCTTTATTTATAGTTTTGCTGTGATAATCTTCTCCATGCAATGCGAGTTAGATCCATATCTATGAACTTAGGAAGTCTGACACTTGGAGCCAATGTTCAATATATCCGAGGATAAAGAAAGATGTATTGAGTTAAAAACTGCTGTGTATAAAACCAGTCTGTGATAGTCAAGTAAAATACACAAACTGAATGCTTCATGCTTATAGCTATATTTTCATGCTACTAAGTATGTATTAACACTTCAAATGTAAAATATTATCAAGATCTGTCCATTTTAGTCTAAAATTAATGAAGGAATTATAGACAAATCTAACAAAAATATTAGACCATATTATGGCACCTATTTGTCAGCCCAGTTAACTACAGTACCGTAAAATCTGTATTAAAAGCCACATCCCTAATAGAAGTCGTCCCCATCCTTTTTGAATAATTGACAACCAAAAATCCACAATTTCTCATATGTGTAGATGCTCTAATAGAAACTGCATTTTCTCTGTTGCATTGTAACATTTTAATTGAAACCGCGGTTTCTAATACAGATTTAACAGTAATAGAAATATAACAATCATACACTTGTAATAACACTACGTTTATTAACAGATCACCAATCTTGTGGAACAGTTGGAACAGTTCCGAGAAGAGATTATGGACAAGGAAGAGGAAATTCAAGGGTTGAATATGCAAATAGAGGTACATCGGAAGGAGATTGATGCACAGAAAGAAAGTCTTCACGAGTTGGAAAAAACGAAAGAGGAACATGAACAATTCTTGGTATGTTTGTTCAGTTAAATTATACAGATTTTACACCTATGTGAAAAACTATGCTGTTGTTTTGTACACAGCTTGAAAGTTGAGATAGCTCAGGTTTTGTGGGTCAAAGTTCGCAAGTGAGTTTATATAATGTCAGGTGTTGTGGGGTCAAAGTTCACAAGTGAGTTTATATATTGTCAGGTGTTGTGGGGTCAAAGTTCACAAGTGAGTGAGGTATTCTAAAGAGCATAATTTTAACTCCTAGGAATTTTCCTGATTTATTGATTTGATGGCATTCGTGAAAAAACAATTTTGTGAATGTCACTGATATTGCTAGATTTCCATAGTTATTTTTGCTGTTGCATAATTTCATGATTTTTACTGACTCGCATAATTCTCCCTAAATTTGTCTCTAGGAAAGTAAAACAGTATTCTTCTTTATTGTAATTAGTCCAGGTCATGTCAAAACTTGCCTAGGTATTAAACTGTATTGAACAATGTCAGTCTTCATTTTAACAATCCCTGAGAAAAGCCTCAATATAAATTTTTTTTTTTCATTAGTACAAATGTGATAAATTAATACATAAACAACTCAGCTGCCATATTGAAAAAGGGTAACTTGACAAAAGTCCTCACTGCTTGACTCCCTAGCTTAGGCATCTATTACATCGACCTTTGACCTCTGACAGTTGCATTATAATATACACAGTACATTCGCAGCACACTAATCTGTTGACCTGGCACTCTAGTCATATACATGTATGTACACATAGCGTAGACTGGGACACACCTCTTCCTAGTTTTCCATATTGGTACAGAGCTGATACTGAAACGGATCGCAAAGTGTTATTTTGTGAAATCAGTGCAAGTTTCATATGTAGGTTCATGTATTAGTCATCAAAAAGTGAGTACACATTCAGTCATGCACTTGTCATGACATGTTCTTATGGGGCTTGTTTTCATCTCTGTCTTGCTGTGTTCTTGATTAATTGTTCTGCGGGAACACTATTTGAAGCTTGTCATATAACCAGAATATTTTGTTAATAACATTTCTCAATTACTACTAAATTACATTAGTTTCCCTTTCTGTTGAATATGAATATTATAATTTATATAGCAAGTTTTTCTAATAAAGCTACATTGTCATTGATTTCACCGTGTTTAATTTGCAAACATTATAGCACTTGATCTTCGGAAGGGGAGGTACAGTTACTAAGCTGCACTGCGCTTATCTATAAATATTATAATAATATAATATACACACGTAATATAATCCAGGTTAATCTTCGTTTCTGCAGTTTTACAGTCAGTAGATACAATTTGGGTAAATTTTATCATATTATTAATCACTCACTGCATATACCCTGGGGAAAAAAATTAAATTCAGGGTAAACTATTTCTATTTCTGCTCTATACAAATCGGGAACAAAACATACACAAACAAATCAGGTATTGTTCTGTACCTATTCTGTGTAAAGAGACTGTTATTGTTATATATGTGCAGGTATTGGTAATATAATTCACTTGATTTATTTCAGAATAAAACAATCAATAACTTTTCTTTAAAATTTGCACATTGCAATGCAAAATGTATAAATACATTGCCCTTTACAATGTTATTTTAACACTATTGACATGAAATCTATTCTTTTCAGCAAATTCAGGCTGTAATGCAGATCTAACTAGAGCTTAGTTATTTGCATAAAAATACAAAAAAAATCTGGTGAAATTTCAATTGTGAACATTCTTTATTTTACAGCTTCCCTATAAAAGATGAATACAAGTAAAAACTTAAAAATAATTTAATATTAAAAATTAACCTATACAAAATTGCCTTTCACCTTTTAGAATAATTAATATACCCTGTGCCATACTGTCTACTAATAGTAACCACCTGTGCCAACAATTAAATGTTATAGTGTGATCGTTGTATATTGGTCAGCACGGGTGGGTATCCATTGTATGCTGCTGTTTATTTTATAGCTATGTATATATTTGGAAATCTTTGATACTTTATGAAATTAGGTCAATACCAAGGTGCAGTGATAATTGGTTATGAAAATTATGCATCATATTCTGTTCTTAAAACGAATACACATGTAAACTTTGGGAAAACAAAAAAAATCTACTTTGTGTGCGTGTTTTTACATGCAACACAGTGATAAACCATTGTAAAAAAGAAAAGAAAAAATCCATTTTTGTCTAAAGTGTTTTTTGCAGACACTGGCTGTTTTCCACACCCACAATCAGTAATCAGACTGTACACTGGAGAACTATTTTAGTCGATACACAAATTTTATGAATTTAATTATTATAATTATTTATACCGGTACATGTATGAAATGTTTGAATGACAATGTCAACTTTTCTCTATTTCACCAAATCAACCTGCAAAAACTTACTCCATATCTGTAAGCAAAGGTAAAATGTATCACATTGGTCTATAACTAAAAGGGAAATTATAGGAAAATACATAACAATGGAAAAGTAAATTTGGATTATGATATCACGCATATATTGTTGAATACATTGTTTTTTCTGGGGGACCAATTGCCAACAAAACAAATATGACTTGAAGACATTACCTAATCTCTTGAATTATTTATTTGTTAAAAAAACAATTTCTGAATGTAAACTGATAAAAAGCCCTGATTCCATCCTTCATTGTTACGCATGCAAATTCTATAATAATAAATTTTTATGTAAATGATAATTCCATCATCAAATGAAACACAATATTGAAGCTGAAAAGATTTCTCTTATACAGAAATCAGAATAACTGAAATCATATTTATATTTGTTCTATCATAAGCACATCTCCAATAGAGTGCAGATAAATAAAAAATATTGCATTGGCTGTATGGAATATTTACTTTGTATCTGACACAAGTGCATGTTTATATTTTAAATTAAAACTTTGTGAAATCATTTTGTAAAATTCTAACCTTGTCTAAATTAGTTACAGTCAATTTAAAATATCTGTGCCGATCATCCTAATAGTTTATCATACACAAGCATGTAATGATGGTACCACAGTCATCAGTCATCAGTCATCTATTTTGTCTTTTACCTGTGAACTTCACAATTGCCAAGAGAATTCTGACCAGTGCCATTTTTTTTCTGCCAGTCTACACTTGAAAAAACTGAACGTGGGGACAAAGCAGAGGAGCAAACCATCTCAAAGTTCTCACACAAGTTGTTAGAAGAAAAGAACCAAGAACTAGATGACCTAAATGAACAGTTGTCTCAGGCACAGGAAGAAATTCAACATCTCCAACAGGATATAAGGCAGAGAGAACAGGAGAACAAAGACATAGAGATCGAAAACTTGAAAGATCAGCTGAGTAAATCGCATGATGATTTAGAACATTTGCAACAAGCTTTGGAACACAGGGCAGCGGACACTTCAGGGGAAGGCAAAGATATTGAGATAGAACAGTTGAATACACAGCTAGCGAAAGCACATGAGGAATTAGAGCAGCTACGTCAAGAAATTGAGGACAGAGAAGCCGATACTGGTGCTAATGTTGAAGTCTTAGCCAATGAATTGGTAAGTAAAATCCATGCATATGTGTTTGTTGAGAACTTAGATCTGTATTTGAACATGTTTGGGCCGGTCACATTCAAACGGCATACATCTTAGGAGCTGTATGGACTTGTTTCATAATGGAATTCAAGGTGACCAAATGACAGCCATTTTTGTGCCCATCAACATCAAGCACTTCTGCCCTTCCAGAACTAGTTTTTGGTTGTGTTTGGTTAGATTTCGTTTAAACTTGGTACATACATCTTGTCACACATGTACATTAATTTGTTTTGCATTCTAATTCAAAATAACCAATTAACGACCATTTTAATATTAAACAATTCCATTGTTCAGACTTGGTACACATAATGTGACCTTGAAGTCCTGACCATACATGTTCACACGTGATATATTTCTTAAAATTGATAACTGACAGGGACTATGTTATGCATCACTTGTTATTATTATTATAAATCAATGATTCTTGAGATTCCAAATTGAGTTCTGGATGCCCATCTTTAAAACACTTCAATTAATTATAGGAACAATTGAGATTGGAACATGAAACAATGTTGGATGAGAAAGAACAAGAGATTTCAAATTATAAATTACATCTAGAGAATGAGAAGAATAAGGATCCATTGATCAATCCGTTGGTGGTGGAGACATTAGAAATGACAAGAAATCATCACGATGAAATCAAGGTATGTGTTATCTTAAATCACTGCAGTCATCACACAGCAGACCTTTTATACATGTTGAATGTCTCTCATGGGACCGTATTGTACACTAATTTCACCTTATGTTTTATATACCTGTTCTAAACGTCATTAAAAATGGCATCACCAGCAGTCCGTGTGGCCCAAACTTTTTTGCTGCTGTCAAACAATTTGTCAAATCACGCAAAAAATAAACGTGCCAACCATCTTTACTCCAAACCATGTCCACTGAATAAATAAGTTGTCAATGTTGCTTCTGACCATTTCCAACCATCAAATACCAAAAGTATGGCTACTACCATTACTGCACGAATGGGGTCATAAAATCTTCAGCAATGAACATGGCAGTGGTGTTATTATTGGAGTAAGTGAATAAAGTTACAAATTGTTTATATTTCTGTTATAACAGCAACAGCTTGAAGAAGAGCTGTATACCCTGAGACATTTGATGAGTGAACGTGAGCAGGAGGTTGAACATTTGGAAGAACAGCTGGCTCGTCTGAGAACCAGGTCAGATAGCCCAGGGAGTAGTGATGATGAAAGAAATATGCAGATGGACCAGTTAGAGGCTGAAATTCAGGTAATGCTCTACAATATTATTTTACACCCATTGTCTGTGTGCGTGCAGTATTGCTGTTTTCACACCCATGATAGGTGGTTCTGCAGTATTGCTGTTTTCAGACCTATGTGAGGTGGGTCTGTAGTATTGCTGTTGTCACACACACTGTCAGTGGGTCAGAAGTTCAAATCGTACCTGTGGTTGAGCTATTCTCCACCCTGAGTGTGTGCGCACAGATCCTAAACCAGAAACACTAATAACATTACAAAACTTATTGACATTCAGTACAGCAGTAATAAACGCCCAAATCAAGACTCGGCCATAAATGATGTAGGTATATATGAAAAATCAAGAAATATTTTTCTAATAATTTAACTCAAACTTTTTTTCTGAAGGATAAGGATGCGCATATAGCAAGATTAAAAGTACAAGTTGACAATATGCAAGATGCCATCTTTAAAAAACAACAAGAACTCAACAACGCCCAGAGATCAACATCTGATTTTAACGAGAACTTGGAAAGGATGAAGGTTCTACATGCTGAGGAGATTGCTGTGATGAGGAAAAGTCAGGAAGAAGAGATAAAACAAGTTAAAGCTGACGCTGAGACTCGATACCTGCAAAAACTCTCCACTATGAAGAGTTTATCACCAGCAACAGCAAGAGATCTAGAACAGGTAAGTCTGCAGAGATGGTTGTTTCAGAGCAATATGCGAGGAGAATCAATTCAACAAAGTAAAAATGAATTCTCAACTGTAGAGGGCAGTATATAAGATACTGCAGCACACTTGAAATTTCCCATCTTGATCAACAAGACTGGTATTTGACTTGTAAGTGACTTGATCTTTCCTCCATTAATCCTAGTCAATGTACGAATTGCGAGCAAAACTCACTGAGCAACACCAACAACATATCAGGGAACTATCAGACAAACTTGAGAGAGATAATGAAATTGAGTTGGAATCTTTGAAGATTAAACATGAGCAGGATAAGCGGGAGATGCGTGATGAACATAAAAAAGAAATTGAAATGGCAATAGTGAAAACAAGAAGAGATCTTATACAGCAGCATAGATTAGAAATTCAGACATTACAAGATGAATATCATAGACGTGGAGATTCAATATCGTCACCTAGTCCAACACCAAGTATTAGAGGTAAGATTTGTACTTACATTGAATATTATTGAATTTGACCTTGAAATCGGATGTTTTCACATTGGTATTGTATTTGCTCTATTAAAGGTACATCTCCAATAGATGTGCATGTACTGCTTCATTTAAAATATGACTTTTTTCAGCCTTAGACACACTGTGTTGTTGTTTACGAAAATGAAACAACATTGAATAAACGCAAATTGACTCTGATACCTGCTGGATTCTTAGGTAGATTTTTTAGCTCCGCTGTCGACTTTGTCGAGCGGAGCTCATCATATGAGTGATTGTATGTCGTTGTCCGTGTCAATGTTTTACTTTTTCGACTTCTTGTTGAAAACTACAAGCGTGAATGCTTTGGTACTTGATGTTAATGTACCTGGGGTAGACCTCTCTTAGATTTGTTCATTTCATTGATGATATCTTCAGATTTTTTTTTTTTTTCCCCTTCTTCTTTTCTTCTGCATATAAATTCGTTGTACCAGTAGTTCGTTTATATTATTATTACACATAGTATTTTAGTCATTTTTATATCTAAACCATATAGATTACCTTTTAATTTTTGTTATGTAAATAGTAATTTTACTTTCCTTTACTAGTAAATTCTAAATTTCTACTTGACAGTCTGGGCCATGGACTGAACTAGTCCATAAGAACTATTTCCATGGTCCACACCAGAATTGCTACTATTGTATTTTGTTAATAAGTTCTGTTAAAATGGTCATTCTGGTGAAATAAATAAATAAATAAAAATTCTCTAATTTTGGTGAATATTTTTGTCATTTTTGGTAAAAAGTGATATTTTCGACTTCTTGTTAAAAACAGCAAGTCCAATTGCTTTGATATTACATATATGGGTACTACATGTGGACCTCTCTCAGATTTGTTCATTTTGTAATGATATCTTTAATTCTCTAATTTTGGTAATAATTTTTTGTAATTTTTGGTAAAAAGTGATATTTTCGACTTCTTGTTAAAAACAGCAAGTCCAATTGCTTTGATATTACATATATAGGTACTACATGTGGACCTCTTTCAGATTTGTTCATTTTGTAATGATATCTTTAATTCTCTAATTTTGGTAATAATTTTTGTAATTTTTGGTAAAAAGTGATATTTTCGACTTCTTGTTAAAAACAGCAAGTCCAATTGCTTTGACATTACATATATGGGTACTACTTGTGGACCTCTCTCAGATTTGTTCATTTTGTAATGATATCTTTAATTCTCTAATTTTGGTAATAATTTTTGTAATTTTTGGTAAAAAGTGATATTTTCGACTTCTTGTTAAAAACAGCAAGTCCAATTGCTTTGATATTACATATATAGGTACTACATGTGGACCTCTTTCAGATTTGTTCATTTTGTAATGATATCTTTAATTCTGTAATTGATGAATATTTTTGTCATTTTTGGTGAAAAGTGATATTTTTGAATTCTGGAAATGAAATGTGCAATGCTAACAGCGGAG